GTATGTTAATGAAAATAATGATTTCAATTACTTATTCTTGGTCTAATATAATATTAAGAATATCTTAATCTATTACAAATTGTGTAATTAACAGTAAATAATCATTTTTTTCTTTCATACTTCTAAGGGTAGGTCCCTCTAACTGCATAAAACTACCCCACAAATAGAACTCTTTAGTGTGCAGTGTTTAGAGCTTCCTTAATACAAAAAAAAATGCATGTCACTGTCCAGGTTTGATCCGTATTCATTGGAATGTTAATTCTTCCATATAAAGCCAAAAGTTCTCTGAACTGGGAGGTCCAATGAAAGAAAATTATCCAAAATGAGACAAGCCTGCAGCCTTCAGTTTGTTCAACATTATGCACTGAAGAGCTGTATATAAATGCTCATATTTTTGACAAGAGCTGCTTGACTCAATAGCCAAAATTGTAAAAGTGACCTTGCCATGTAAATCCAAAAGGTGATTATCAAATGGATTCACAGGTATAATTCGAAAAGCATCCTTAGTATTAGATTTAGCAATGAGATCCTTTCCCAAGTGATACAATAGTGTCAACCGAATCATAATAAACTTCCGAACATTCTTTAGGAATATTTTAATTAACTGAATCCTGGGCTTAAAAAAGATCATGAATGATCCGAAATTTATTTGTTTCAGATATAGGAACAACGCTTAGTGGAGAAGATTTAAAATGGGGCGGATACGGAAATGGGCCTGAAATTCTTTGCCTATTTAAACCACCTGCATTAATATAGTCTTTTACAATTTCTGGGTGTTCAGAGGTTGATTCATGATTGTGAGCAGGGTAAATGGAAGGGTCTTTACACACCCTAAACGAAAATCAAATGTGATGCTTGAAGCTAGAAAGTTAAATTTTTCTTATTCATAACCTTGTAACTCATTTATGAGTTTTACTGGCCATAGTTTTTTTACTAGAGTTGGAAGGGCCACTGTCATTTCTGATTCAAAAGGTGGAGTTGGACCGTATTCCTGTGCGTTGAAATCGGGGATGGGGAGCATTACAGTCTTGGCAGGTATGCAAAAATGTGTGGGAGTTACACTTTTGCCCTTTGTTACAAAGCATTATCTGAGATGAAAGGGCTGTCGTTTCCCAGTACTCCCTTGCAATTTGTTTAGAGACCAAAATCCCATAGATGCTGTCTTTATCCTTATTTTTTTATTGCCTTTTTCCCACGGTAAGAGGGATATTTCCCTTATTTAGTATTTTTTTCAGCCTAGGAACAATGACCACAGTAAATCTCAGTAATACGCAGCATAGACAGCACAGCAACAGTATTTATCAGACTCAGAAGTAAAGACATCAGTAATTATCAGTATTTAACAGAGACAACTAAAATTATCAGCAACAACAGTAATAAGAACAGTAAATGTCAATATTTATCATCAAGAACAGCACAGTATCAGTAATTATCTAACATCAGTAAAATTGGGGACTCACAGCACTTTTTTCGTCCAGTAGTGAATGGAATGATCAACAAACTTATTTACACAAATTAAAATCATACTCACAGATATAATGTAACAATATCAAAATGAAAACATCCTCAAACGAGAACAAGAGCTTAATCAAGGAAAGCGAGCAAGGTCTGAAACGGTGAATGACCTTCCACATTTTAATAAGCATAATAAAATTATTATATGATGTATTTTTTACATGATCAAAGCATTTTTTCCTTTCCTTGCGATACATATTACAAAATGTTTGTCTCTTCTGATCGTTTCCATTTCATTTTCGACATCCTAGCAAATAAATATTTAAATGACTTGAAAGACTGTACCATTTAACAGTATGCATTTATTGACTGGGTTCGAGGGCAACATGCGTTTTGTCAAAGAACCAAAATGATTGCCTGAGGCCGTTAGATCGAAGGCAAACAGTTTGGTACGAGGGTTCGACAAAACGCATTTTGTCGGAGAACACAGTCAATAAACGTTTTGCATCTTTTATTATTTGTCATACATCTATAGAAAGTACCCCAAGAAAAGTGATCGATATTAAATTTAAAGGCACTAATACTGACGTCATATATATTATAATATATACTTTAAGCATGAGAGCCTTAACATATTGTTTGTATTTTATAAATGAGTGTTTCTTCGATTGCTAAAGGGAGGCTTATAAAGATCAAAGCATTTTCAGTCCTCTTTATATGTTTGGCGCCACAATTGTTAATGTTGAAATGAGTAATGATTGTTATTGATATGATTGGAAATAATATCGAAGGTGTTAAAAGAGAGTAAAAAGAGTTATTTTCCCATAAATATTGTGATCAACTAATAACTATTTTGTCTATTTTTATTTAAGTTTACAATTACTTAGACAAAAATATATTATATTCTCTCTGTCACGCACAGAGCGCACCGAACAAATTAAAAAACACACAATTTCTAGACCTTTTTTTTTTTTTTTTAAATTTTGCAAAAATGATTTCCCATATTTATGCGCAACATTTATATAATTAACAATTTCACGCTTTATTAACAATTATTAGAAAAGGATTTGTTAAAATAGCATGAGCTAAAAAAGAAATATTACAATAATAATGTTAATTTGAACAATTTGATGATTTTACAAATCTACATTGCAAAAGAAATCAAGAGGTTTTTAAGTCACCGTGTATCACAAATTAAATGTGTCGGCGACATATTTGATTGATGTATTTCCTTCCTTCTTTGAAGAGTTGTTCATTTGTATATATACGTAATTCACTCAGGGAAATGTCAGTGTTATAAAGTATCACCATGATTCTCTTCCAGGGGTGAGTTTTCAAATATTTTGAAACATTCCAGGCAGTTTCATTTTCCTTTAAATTTTCAAAACATAATATTTTGCAGTTTATTTGGATCATTTGTTTACTTTTCCCTAACTGTTAAGAAGTAAATTAAAGTATAAAATAAAAACATTTTGACAATAATAAACACATCTGTTTCTAACACTTAAATCGGATTTATATGAACAGAAGTATATAGAATTTATTAAGTGATGGTCTTCAGTTTATTCTAAAGAAAAATGAATATGTTTTAAAATTTCAACTGATCTTGATTGCCTTTTCAGTTCGCATTTCATATTTCTGATAGTAATAATAAATCCTACTTTTGGAACATTACACAAAACGCTATCAGTACCTTTGTCTTTTACTCCACTCCGAAGAATCACGGTAATACCAGACAATGGAGATGTGTACATAGGTGGCAAGAACATAATTCTGCATCTGGACAAAAATTTTGATGTAAAAAGCACCAACACAATAGGTCCCCGACAAGACAGCAAGCAATGTGATTCTGAAAAACCTTGCAACTCTTTGCAGTTAACAGATAATTATGTAGAAGTTCTAGAATTTATTCCAAAGCAAAGAATGGTACTCATGTGTGGATCAGTTGAGCAAGGTCGTTGCAAATTCCTGAATAGTCACTCAATATTAATAAAAGCGGAAAATTTTCTAAGAAATACACAAAACTACGTTGGAAGTAGAAATGGAACGATATTTGTACCATACACTGATGACAAGAAAGATTACAACTATTTTATAGGCCGAAGTTGGGATGGACGACCGATGAAGTATACTTTTCCAGAGTTTTCTTTCATGGGAATCCATAATAGATCTGCTGACTTAATCAATAGATGGGAATTTCAGAATACAACACTGTTTGCGTCAATTGGAATATGTGATAAAAAACGAGAAGATACTTCAACTCAGTTTATTTACGGTTTTCAAAAAAAACCATTTTGTCTTTAGCATATATACCCAGGCAAGAAACGAATCTTCCGGAATGATATACCAAACTAAAATGTCAAGGATATGCACGAGCGACAAATTTATGAGGTCTTTCAATGAAATTATTCTGGAATGTAAAGACCATAATATTGCAACTGCTGCTTATTATAGCGAAGAAACGGAGGAAACTGCGCTATATGTGGCTTTTGGTATCAGCTTAGACTCTGTAAAGCCTTCCAAAAATGCTTCAGCATCTGTTTGCAAATTTACACAGGGCGAAATAGACAACATGTTTAATAATTTGATTTCACATTGTTATAATAACGGAGATGCTCTAAGCCCACCTGATTGGTCGACCTGTGGGAAAACACAAAAATGTAACACTAGTGCAACAGTAAGCAAACTTATCGAAAGAAATATTCATTATAACATATGTTAAACATTAATATTTATAAAATATGTTTAACAAGTGTGTTTATTTGTAACTGTTAAAACATATATGTATATTTATTTAAAGAGTCTTTTAGGTCTGTAGAAGATCTCCATTATAGTTATTTATATATAAATTAGAACGTGAATATCTTACAATAAGCACTGTAAAAAATTTTAAAAATCAATTTAAACCATTTACGAAATTAATATCGATTTCAACATGAAATAAGTAAGAAATGCATATCTTTTTTAAATATATGCATTGTTACAATTTTGAATTGTATAGGGACTACAAAATTTGTAATTATTCGAGTTCATGTCAATGTTTCTATCACAATGGCTAATACAATTGTACCTTAGATAAATGATAATATTGAAAGTAGATTTTCTTTAGCTTGTATACAGTGTCATTAAATTCTAGATGCCCGTTAATAGCTACTGCAGCTCGGAGAGAAATATAAGGGAAGCACGTAAAACCAACCCTGGAATACAGAGGTTATCAAAACCCTACTTCAATCCACAGGCTTTAATTTACAAAGAAAGGAGGGCAATTTTCACGTCAGTGTTTTCACATAAAATCAATTCAAAGACGAACATTTTGTGGATTGGAACAATTGACGGTTACATTCTTAAAGTAAATAAAACTTATTCTTAATTATATGTTATTTATTTTAATTTGCAATATACATGGACATTACGTATAACAGTCAAACAAGAAAAAAAATATGACAATGTTATCTATTCTCTGTGGTTAACAAATACATCATTAATTCAAGTATAATTTACAAACTACTCTCAATGCCAAATGAAAAGATTGTTCACATTTCTAGGTAAATATTGAGGAAAGGCATAGAGAAAGAAAACCGTATTTAAAATTTGATCTGAGTCAGAACAGAAGACAGAGAATTGAGCCCCATCATGTGGTGGATCCAGTAGGCACGGCCCATGTCATATTTCTACATGGAAACAAGGTGAGACAATAACTTTTTCGCAAAATTTGAATACTTATAAGTGCTCTATATAGATAAAAAATTCAAATACAGAAAGAGAATATGTTGGTTTAAACTTATTTTATTACTGTAAACGTATTAACTTCGGCTGTGTATTCCTTTTTGGCGCTTTTGGCGGAAAGCAACTTCCGCAAATTTATGTACATCGCTAAATGTCTTGCACATATACACATAAATAAGAACACTAAGAAATGCGCTAAATCAAATCTACGCTAACTTGTTAAAAAAATCAATTTCCGCCAAATAACTTACACGCTAAATATAATACATTTACAGTATGCTTACATATATTTGTCAGTCAATAGTGAAACATTGAAAACTAGATAACAGCACAAAAGAATTTAGTTCTCATAGGAAAAAGAAACGAACGTAAGAATTCCTAGGAAGAAGAAGAAAAATACTCATGCCCTCGTCATTGTACTGTGTTTTATTGTTTTTTGTAATTTAAAATAAAGCGACATAAATCGAGGGAATAATGTTCTTCAAGTTAAGATAGTAATTTTAAAGGGTTCTAATTTTTTTTAATTCTTGATCTTGTCCAGCATAAGCATATGCATACATCGAGATTTAATACTTAAGATAATTAAAATGCACTAGTACTTTTTATAGATAGTAATCATTTTATGATAACAAACATTCTTTCTTCAGGCTTCAAGATTTCCATTGTATTCTTGTCATGTCCACACTACTTGCAGTACATGTGTGACAAGTGGTGACCCACTCGGGTGTGGGTGGTGTGGAGATTCGTGTGTGATGAGGAGCGAGTGTAATAGCACGCGGTACATGTTATAATGTATTCTATTTTTCCTAGCTACAAGGTAGTTTTACACTTGACCTCTAAAATTACCTCTTTTCATTAAATTTAGGCACATTTCTGCAATTGAAACTGTGACTCCATGGCGTAAACGATAAAAAAAAAACGTATCTGACGTCACAGAGTTATTAAAGACGTCAAAATACGCACGGCTAAATTTCGGCATTGACCATATATAGTTTTGAGTTTTAGGTTACCTTTATTCAATAAATACTAGCGGTGATTGCAGGATAAGAAAAATTAAATTCCATGGTTGAATTCCTGAAGTACTTCATTAATGTCTGAATATCTCAATAAAAATATCTTTAATACTTGCCAAAATATCTTAATATGTTACACATTCTGTGAAAGGCATAATTTTAAGTATTGCAATGAATAATTTCATTACTGCATACTACAGGTGTATCCTTTAAGTGGTCCATTACAAGGCGGAACGATAGTAACAATTGAAGGGGAGAACTTTGCAGACGACAAATTCACAAATGTGACTATTGGACAGGATGTATGCAGCATCGTCAACTCGACAAATGTCAAGTATAAAATAATATGTAGTATCGCGTCTTTGGCACATTTTAAGTGGTACAAGGAAGAGAAACTCCTTAAATAACACAACAATGTAGAAACAAAAAATCATGTTGAGAGCTATACTGGAAAATCATATTATGCAGATGCAACGATTATTATATTTCTTTGAAATCTGTTTTAAACCCCATGAAATAGTAGAAATAGATCAGCCTTTTTTAACGTTCTAAGATTGAAGGGAATATACATTTTCCTGAGAGACAATCCAAACAAACTTAGGAACTACGTATGTAAGATTTATTTTTTTAGTCTATTCAGTGAAAAATCTTATTTTTAATCTGTACAGTTCAGTTATTTTTTACAGACCTTGTTACTTTCATAGTCAAAATTAATGAAAATTTAGCTACATAAATAACATGAAAAGCTAATCTATATATTTATCATCCATATAATGATAAAAAGGGATAAATTTCTAAATCTATTTTTAAGATGGGAATATATGAAGTATATAGGCAAGATAACATTGACATACTATTCTTAAAAATGATTTTTTTTTTCTGGAAATGAATTGTAATCAAGAAAATGAAGGAAAAAATCTTTACTTGTAGAATTATGTGTAACACCAGGTCAGCAACAGAAGCCGGTGAGTACTTAGTAAAAGTGACGACAAACAGAATGGGTATCGTAAAACCGTCCGGGATTCAAGTTTTCAATTTTTCTTATAAGGTATGAATATTACATAATATAGTAGTATTATTATTACATAATATAGTAAATACTTTGATATTTTGATTTTCTTTGAAGCTTTACTTCTGAACTTTCTTTTTGAGATTTCTAGCCTAATTTTTTTTAAAATTTAATATCAGTGATGTAAAATATGGAAATAATATATGCATATAAAAGTAATATTTCCATTTAATACCCTAGTAAAAATACTTTAATTTACTGGACGCGGAGTAAAAACTTTGATTTACTATTTTGAAAACATTGATACTATAGTCAACTAAAGTATACTATAGAATTCTTGTTAGGGATAAGTATTGCTAGTTGAGGTACGACAATATGTGCAGTAAGGTTATGTACCGTCACAGGGGCGGATATTCTTAAGGACATACCCAACGTACCTTACCAACTGATATTGTTAAGAGATATTCTTAATTTAAAATTATAATAACAGTAGATGTTCGCAGACGAAAAATCAGCATGCATTACCAGGAGTTTTGAAAAAAATGTCAAATGATGAAAATTCATGTATAATTCAAAGAAAAATATACAAAAATTATTAAACATATATTCTAGATGGGTTTTTTTTGTCATCCAAATTTGTTTTAGAAGAGGTGTACAGCATTATAGATAGACATTAAAAGAGTAGCACACAGGTCCTTCAAGTATTGAAACTTCAACTACAGTGAAAAAGACAATAATTTTCAAACTACGTTGGGTATGTCCTGAAGTCGACCATTTATTAGTATTAAAGAGAAAGGCCAACAATTGTAATGAAGCATGTAGGCCAGAATACGACCCAACGATAGGTTTTTTTTGCTAACAAGGTCGTTATAACGACCATAAAATTAACGAGATTTACTATTTTAAACGAGGTTAAAATTCCTGTAACCTCTACTATCTGTCATTAGTCTGCCTAGGTACAAAAATTACTCGTACTAAGAGCATGCTCTTGAGTATCGAATAAGTTGGGAAACGTTAACATCATATGAAAGGGATAGTGGAATATTACTACATAAACAAGGAAAGTTAACGATGAAAAAGCTGAAGTCATCTCGTTTGTCAAACAATTTATTGTTAATTGGCCCTTATCATCCATAGTCAATAGAACATCCAAATATGAAGCAGATGTGGCAAACATGAATGTGGAGTTGAAGGCCATATTAAAAAAATATATATTTATTTTTCATATCATTATTGAAATACTTAAAAAGTTTATCCTACGACCTAGGGAAATGAAATTGAATTTTTTGAATTTGTACATGTAACTTTTTTGATCAAGTGATTCATATCGTATTGTTTTACTGACTCATTTTGCATAATAATATTTTTAAAGTTATTTATAACCCTGCTTTTTATTTTAAAAGGAAAAGAGGGTACGTTTAAACTGTAGAAATTCTAGTTTAAATATTTTTAATCGAAATAAATATTATTTACTCTAATTTTTAGAGCATACTAAATCAAATGTTTCATGCAGTTGTCTTTATAATATCCATTAAACCCGGCTATATTGATGACTTAGAGGTGACTTGTACATCACATCAATTTTATAATTATATGTATGTAGAATGAAGGTAAAAAAAAAATATAGGAGTGTTCGAATCTAAAATTAATGTCTAAGTGTTTTTTGTTTGTTTGTTTTTTTTTTTTGTTTTGTTTTTTTTTTTTTTTGTTTTGTTTTGTTTTGTTTTGTTTTTTTTGTTGTTGTTTTCTGGTATTGTCTTGTTTTGTTTTTTGTTGTTGTTGTTTTTTTTTTTTTTTTTTTTTTTTTTTTTTGCAGCCATTACATCGTTTTACTTTCAAATTATTAGTTTTCAAGATTCATGTCAATTGCCAACAAGAGCCCCTTATGTTTTTCAACTTGATTCGTATTACAATGCATTATTGAAAATGATTATAGTGCAGTCACTTTTTGAGAACTGTATATCAAATTTCCTTTATTTAAGGAAATTTAAGAAAGAAACTCTTTGCAATAGATAAGATTGGCAATGTTCCATTTACTACATATAAAAATCATGTCACCAGGTCAAGTAAGCATGCAACGGGATTGCCTTTTGCTAATCACATACATGTTTATTGAAAATGCATCATATCCTTAAAACTTTCTACTTAGCAATTTACTTAAAACCTTTGGCAGACAAACTAGCATCATGATGAAAATAAGTGATGAACTCTCTACCGAACGTGTGAAGATTGTTTCTACTGGGTCTAGATTTTAAGCCTAAGGCTTTGTAAAAGAAAAGTTAAATACATCAAAATGCTTTCCATGTTGAGATATCATGTAGCATAGTATTGGCAAATTATATACAAAATGCTATTTGGGACATGGATTCTCTATATAAGAAAAAATGAAGAAGAAAACCTGAAAAAGAGAGAAGCTAAGTTAATCAAATACAAAAAATACAATTTATTTCTAACAACCTAATACAGATAAACTGTCCAGTTATTATCAAAGAAATGACCCTACTAGATCTAGATATATATTTCTCCTTTGTTAAGGAGATATTTGGCATGAGAGACCTTCATTTATAGACGCATTGCATCTTTAAGATTCTGAAAGTCGCATCTTTGTCATATATTACAAACAAAAGAAAGGTATATATATATATATATATATATATATATATATATATATATATATATATATATATATATATATATATATATATATATATATATATATATATAAACTGAGCAACGTGATTTTTTTTGTGGAAAAAGTGGTAATCTGAGTTCAACCGTCTAAACATACCTGATATATTGCTGACTCGGTTTAAGCAATAATTTGTCAATCAATCAATCAAAAGTCATGCAACAGAATTGATTTATCATACTTTACATTTGTGTAATTTCTCCTGACCATGTTTTTTTTTCGTTTACACGATAAGGTTGCAAAAAAGATCATCATTTTTATCAAAGCATTCTTATACATGAAACTTTTAAAACAGATGCCATTCCTATCCACAAGTCATCCTGGATCAGGGCCTCGTCATGGAAATACAATGATAACTTTTAATGGTGACAATTAAGACATCGGACTGAAAACTATGATAATGATTTCTAATTTACAGTGTCAGATCGTAAGGTAAGGATTAAAATGCTTTATGAAGTGATAAACTTTTTTATGTATGCATTATATATTATGTATTATGCATATTTAATATAAAGTAACATGTAATTTATCTCAGATAGAAATAGGATATGAACTTTTTTATGTATGCATTATATATTATATATTATGCATATTTAATGTAATGTAACATGTAATTCATCTTAGACAGAAATAGGATATAAACTTGTTTATATCAGTTTATCTTTCTGTCCACGCTTCCTTCTTAGTCATGTAAGCTTTTCTGAGTGATTCATGTGGATTTATATTAAGAAAACTTTTGTATATATAGTTTTATACTGATGGTCTAATTTTTTTGCTCCGCGTTTCGATTCATTTGGTATATTTTTTACGAAGTATGATCCTAAAATTAAAAAAAAAAGATAATTGGAATGTGTACTTAGATATATCTATCTTTTCAAAAGATACCATGTAGGCATAGAGCTCAATTATCGAGATGGATATGTTAGAGTATCTAAAATAAAGATTCTAAAATTCTGATGACCCTTGTTTAACGAAACAGATGTCCTTGAATAATAGATACAATTACGCATTTCATAAAACATTTTCACATCCCCACATCATAGACCCATTATAAAGATGTTTAATTATATGACTGTGTCC